GTCCAGCATCCTAGCTTGTATTAGAACTAGTGTGGCCAGCAGGACTAGGCCTGGTCCTGCCCCTGGGCTGGGCACTGGGGAGGCTGCCCCTCAAATCCTTGGGTCAGTTTTCACCCCTCACTCCAAGGAGGACCTTGAAGGGCTGGAGCGTGGCCAGAGAAGGGCAACAAAGCTGCTGGGGAAGGGTCTAGAGCCCAAGTGTGGTGAGGAGCAGCTGAGGGAGCTGGGGGTGCTGAGCCTGGAGCTGTGGAGGCTCAGGGGAGACCTGCCCAGGGCAGTGGTGGAGTCCCCATCCCTGGAGGGGTTTCCAAGCCATGGAGATGTGGTGCTGAGGGACATGGGTCAGTGGGGACCTGGCAGTGCTGGGGGATGGTTGGACTCCATCAGCTGAAAGGTCTCTTCCAACCCAAACAGTTCTGTGATTCCATGATTCTGTGGATCCACCCGAGGTCAGTCTCAGGATCTCTGCTCCCCGGTGGCAGTGCCTGGAGAAGCTGTGCTGTGGTGTGCCCAGGAAACAGCCCCAACCTCCTGCCCACCTCAGGGGCTTGGGTGTCAGAGGCCCCTCCCAGCTCCCTTCTCACAGATGTTGGTTCTGGCTTCATTCAGAACCTTTACATTTCAATCAAATAGGTAAAGGACAAAGCCCACGACTGAACTTTCCAGAATAACATTTTCAAATGCCAAGAGCTTTTCTCCTAAATGAGGAAAACATTGAATTTTAATTTCTGGAACTGTACAGCTGAGAAGATTGCCATGAGCAGAGAGCAGGGGTAGGACGTGCCCCCCAGCTCCGGATCCAGCCCTTGATTGAGTTCCGTGGAGCTCCTCAGGATTTATCAAGCTCCTGGCGTGGAGATGCTCCCGAGGCAGCAGCCAGGAGGTCACCCTGAGTGCCAGGGCAGGCAGATAAATGGAAAGATAGAGGGAAGGAGCTGCTGCTTCCACAGCTTCTGGGCATCTGCAGATGGTGCAGTTGGCAAACCTGAATCCCAGCATGGTGGGGTTGGAAGGCACATCTGGAGATCATCTCCTCCAACCCCCCTGCTCCAGCAGGTCACCCACAGCAGGGTGCCCAGGATCACATCCAGCCACGTTTGGAATCTCTCCAGAGCAGGAGACTCCACAGCCTCTCTGGGCAGCCTGCTCCAGGCTCAGCCACCCTCACACCAAAGAAGTTTCTCCTCCTGCTCAGGTGGAACCTCCTGGGTTCCTGTTGGTGCCCGTTGCCCCGTGTCCTGTAGCTGGGCACCACTGACAAGAGTCTGGCCCCAGCCTCTTGCCCCCCGGGGCCCTTTAGCTCTTGCTCAGCCTTGATCAGATCCCCTCTGAGGCTTCTCTTCTGCAGCTCAGCAGCCCCAGGGCTCTCAGCCTGTCCTGGCACAGAGATGCTCCAGGCCCCTCAGCAGCTTCGCAGCCTCCACTGGACTCTCTCCAGTAGCTCCTGGTCTCTCTACTGAGGAGCTCAGGACTCCTGAGGTGGCCTCACTGGGGCAGAGCAGAGGGGCAGGAAAACGTGTCTGTCTCCCCGGTGCCTGGTCAGGCACCCGAAGCAGCAGCATGCTCCTGCCTGCTCTGGGTGAGCAGGAGAGGCAAGTTCAGAGCTCAGGCACCGTCCAGCACGTGCCGGCAGCAGTACAGCCCAGCGGAGGCCAGAGGCCCCTTCTGCCTCTGCCCGGGGTGGAAGGGTCCTTGCCAAGGCTGAGAAGGTGGGAAGGGCTCTCAGTGCTCAGCACCCAGCATGGTATTTCTGCACCACCCTGCTTGTCAGGATCCGATCCAGAGCACCTTGGATGTGAGAATCTCCCTGTGAGCATTGGCCCAGGCTGCCCAGGGTAGTGGTGGAGTCCCTGTCCCTGGAGGGGTTTCCAAGCCATGGAGATGTGGTGCTGAGGGACATGGGTCAGTGGGGACCTGGCAGTACTGGGGGATGGTTGGTCTCGATGACCAAGAAGATTTCTCCCAACCTGAACAATTCTGTGCTTCCATGATTCTGTGAGTGGCCGTGTGTTAGAACAGCATATGGAGTGAACAGTGTGAAGATGTCAGAAGAAATGAGGTTGTAAAGATAAGACAAAGGTGACTTCAGATGTTAGACTCTGTGTTGGAGCTCAGATCTGGGAGCCAACCAGAGCTTAGCTCCATCTGCAGCTGGCCGAGGGAGGCAGCCAAGTGCAGGGACACCCCACTGCCAAACCAAGCTCCTGGTCCCCTCTGGATCCCCTCCCACCTCGACCCCCTCCCCAGCCTCCAGCTCTTTGTCATGCTGCTGAAGTTTCCAGGAGGATGGTTCCTGGAAGCCCATGTCCCACCTTCCCACCCACTCACACTCCCTTTCCTGTCTTTCAGAGGATGTCCAGATGACCGACAAGATCACCATCTCCAAGCAGTTCAAGGAGAAGGTTATTCGCCCCATCTTGAAGGTAGGGAGGATTTTTCATGGCTTGGGTTTCAGGTGTCCTGAGCTTCGGTCACTGGGCAATCAGTGGAGCAGGGTTCAGTTGGAGGCCTGTAGCTCATGGTGTTCCACTGAGGTCAGTCCTGGGCTCAGTCTTGGTCAATGTAGTTATCAATGACCTGGTTGAGGGGACAGAGGGGACCCTCAGACAGTTTGCTGAGGCACCAAACTGGGAGCAGTGGCTGACACACCAGAGCTGTGCTGCCATTCAGTGAAACCTGGACAGGGTGGAGAGATGGGTGTAGAAGGGAGAGCTGGGTGGTGAGGAGCCTCATGGTGTTCAACCAGGGCAAGTGCAGGGTCCTGCACCTGGGGAGAAATAACCCCACGGACCAAGACAGGTGAGGGGTGACCTGCTGGGGGAGCAGTTCCAAGGAGAAGGACCTGGGAGTGCTGGAGGACAGCAAGTTGTCCATGAGCTAGCAATGGGCCCTCATGGCCAAGAAGGCCAATGGTCTCCTGGGGTGCATCAAGAAGAGTGTGGCCAGCAGGTCAAAGGAGGTTCTCCTCCCCTCTGCTCTGCCCCAGTGAGGCCACCTCTGCAGTACTGGGTCCAGTTCTGGGGTCACCAGTTCCAGAGAGACCAGGAGCTACTGGAGAGAGTCCAGTGGAGGCTGCAAAGCTGCTGAGGGGCCTGGAACATCTCCGTGCCAGGA